TGTGTTTTGGAAAGTTCTCGAGGCGTGCTATAAGAACATGTAATGAAAAATTGGGGAATCCATTTAAAAAATTCAAAGTGACCTTGTCCTGACCTTGACGACGCCACTCAGGGTCAAACCAATGTTATCATCTTATGTTCCCCTCGAAACCCTACAACTTTTGTCTGAAACATTTTTTCCTAGTTGCTTATTTTTCGAGATATTTGAAAGTTTCAGGTTAAAAAAGTCACCCTGTATATATATAGTCTAGGTAAAATTGCTCCCATAACATTTTTCTACTCCAAATGCTAGTGGTATTATAATTTTCAGTTTTATAACTCGAAAAGTACTTAATAAAAAATAACTTCATTATAGTGTTTCGAAAAGCTCTCGATGTCGACTACAAAAATTTAAGTAAATGTTTATATAGATATACCTTTCAATATCTGATAAATGTCTTATCACTGTAAATTGATCTACTTAAATAATACAATAGATATTTCCTAACTTTGCCTATATACTTTTTTGCAGAATATATTTTATAAAAAAGAAATTAAAAAGAAAATGATTTTTCATATAAGTATTCATTTATTGTTAATTTGTAAACATATAATATACACATATGATAACATCATAGTTAGGAACACATAATCTCTTTCAGCTATTATATATTTTATAAATAATAGTGTTTAAGTTTACATAATTAAGTGGAAATTAACTCATTTTTAGCATGTAATATCAAAAAAGATTATGACAGATAAAGCATTTGACTTTGCTTCTAATGTGTTCTGGAATGTAACTTGATTATGTATAGCTAAATTATAAATAATTAAAGCGAGGATACAAGTTCACAAAGTCTTTACACATTAGTTTATATTAGTGCAAAGAATATATACAGATACGAACGTAGCAGTTTTACACAGGCCAGAGTTTTATCAAATATTTTCGCGCTATTATTCCTTAAATAACAGATTTAAGCATAAAATGATAGAAATCTAATGATTCTCCAAGACTGTTGATATCTTGCACATTTACTTTGTATACATTCATCATACACACATGTTGAAATGTTTATTAAATATTATTTACACAAAGGAAGAATCATCTTTGCATATCTTGTGACATAACATAATATTGCATATCTTCCTAGTAACCAATTTATTTGTTCATTAATCGTAGCTAATTGCAATGATTATGGCTATCATGGCAAGTAAGAAATGATTATCATTAGAAATGCCGTAATACTTTATTATAAAAGATACTTAAAGATTTCTCCCTAAAAGATCTGGAAATTGCAAATTATGTATATGTGACATGTATGTGTACTTAACATATTTGCATAAATTTATGTATTATGTTCCCACTATAGCATTAATAATGCAAGCACACAAGTAAAATTAAATTTATTTATTTAACTAAAATGTCGTCTCTCTATTTTTATTTTTATAATTTTGAAATAAATACATAAGTACGAAAATGACTAGCTTCTCTTTACAAAACATTTCACAATGTTTTTTTAAAAAAATTAAACTGTTTTTAATATAAATCTTTAAATAGAAACTGGGAAATTAAAAAATGTATTTATAATGTAAAATTTTCCTTTACAATTATCATATTACACAAAATCAAATCCATTGCTTCAATAAATAAATTACAATAAATACTATATAACTATAAACAAAGATACCATTAACATAATATTTATTTTTACGGTATTTGTTTCACAGTTTCTGTTAATACAAACAAAATAGTTATAGCAATATAATAATTATAGCAAAGTATGGTATAACACAGAAACATTGTGAGATTAAAATTGCACATTTCTTTAATATGTACTTAATGTACTTTTAATACGTATTCTATTGAGATTTTTCCAATTCATTCAATTATTTTCTTACTTTTAATAAATTAATTTGTAACGGATAACTTAAATAATACGTTAAAAATATTATAAATGGAAATGAAGTCTATAAATCTCTACACACACTTTATAGGAAATTGTCCCCTGGCGGAATTCGTTCAAATTTTGGGATTTTATAGTTCATAAAATGCCGATCAAAAGTGTCAATAGGCATAACTCTTCAGAAACAGTTTAATTTCTAAAAGACAATGAATGTTAATTTTTCAAATTTTAATGCAAAAATTGTTTTTGCAGTTCTCTACAAGCTTCAGCAATACCTCCTTATATCTGTCTAACATGAGGTGTGCAATTCACATTCCACTCAAACTCTTCCAATCATCAACATATTGGTTGTGTCAAATTCAATGATTGCACCTCTTGATTGCAAATTCCAATAATTAAAAGATATAATTCTCTAATCAATAATAATCATAGTACTATTAGCTACATCTTGCATCCCATTCAAAGATAATGATGGATATTTTGTATTGTTTTAATATCTTGCATATCCTAAACATCATAATATAATAGTAACATGAGTACAGGTACTTAATGTTCATGTTTCTATGTTGCTTGTATAATATTCTAGAACAAGAATGTGTAACTGGCAACTCGCGGGCCAGATATCCATTCCATTTGGAGACAATTGCCAGGTGCGAAAATCTTCATAAGATCACATTATAGCTCTTAGACTTTTATGAAACAATATATGATTTGTAATTTAAAAATTAGTCTATTAAAATAGTAAATGTATTCATCATTATTAACCTTTAAACCACTATATCGATTTCACAGACCGCTACTGAAACGTTACTTGTCAACAATTTTCTTATTTGTCACCATTTAAATATATTTTATTTCTATTGTATACGAGATTTTTTTGTTAACCCTTACATTAAAACATAGTTTTCCTTTTCCCCATCAACAAGTATTTAGAAAACATAAATTTTTATTAACTTATAAAATATATTTTTATAATTAACTTATCAAATTAGCGGGAACATAATAGTGGTCTGTTAGATCGACATTATGATTAGTGTGATTTTTTGGACGTAGTGGTTTAAAGGTTAAGCTGTATGCCTAATGTACATATATTAAATGATGTATTAAATGATGCATGATAATAAGCAATTAAAATACCACTAATATGCTGTAAAATAGAAGACTCCATTTATCATATTACCGTATTTACATTTTGAAACTTCTCTAAGAAATATAAAAATTAAATATCTATTGCCTTCTCTCAAATGTTTAAGCATTAGAAATTATTGAAACATTGTCTAAGTTGGTTAGAGATTCCCCTACTGTCTATAATTTTTATAATTTCTTTTTTTAAATTATTAATTTTATGATGACGCGTGTGTCTGCGTGTAGACACATACATCATAAAATTAATAATTCTTGTGTGCACATATACGCACACACACACACGCACACACACAAAATCAATATTGATGATCGATATTACACCTTGATTCAGTCTGTTTATACACCATGAATCTCGCAATTCTTCACTCTCTATTAAATTGTCAGACTAAACGGCAGCTCACAATATATATACTGGCAATCGTCGAATTTTTTGATAATTGTTCTACCTTTACTTTCTGCGTTTTGCAACTCGCATTAATTCGGTGAATCATTCACTTGTATATTCACATCCTTTGCAGTAGAATCAAATTCAATTTAATTCAACTACTGCTCCAGCCACGATGGTAAAGTGGAGTTTGGTGATTTCACTTTGATGTTGAATTGCTTGAGAGTTGCTTCCAATGCAGTTTGATTCCCCGAGAAATAGGCAGATACAGCATTATGGAATAAGAGCAGTTGCTTATGCATTACTTTAATCTAAAACAGTGAAATACTCATTAGAAGATATCAGTTAAATGATTATCAATTAATAATTTGTAGAATGATTAAAAAAATACTCTGTTTTCATCCAAGAATTTCAACTTAATAGAAACATCTGAGCGTAATTTTTCGAAATTCTGTTTGTGTCCCTCATAATTAGCCTGTGCCTCTTCTAATCTTGCCGCATTGTTACTATCTGATTTTGTAGCTTGCACAAGAACTTCTAGATCTGTTCTATATGCATCGTACTCTATCCTGTATAATTTTTATGTTATAATAGAAGGGCTGAAATTAATATAAAATGAAAAAAATCTAGAATAAAAATCGCATACCTTGCAGTTTCATATTGTCTCACTGTGAGTAATGTGTCCTCAATCGTCTTATTACACAAAGTATTCACAGAGGAAACAAAGAAGTTTAAGGCCCCTAGAAGTGTTTCGCCATTTTTAGTTAAATTTCTTTGCGTTTCCGAATTGTACAGAAACTCCTCTTGAAGCTCAGGTGATTTCTGTGCTAATTCAGAAAACGCTTCTCCAAGAGCGTGTTGCGTCTGAACGACGTGATGAAAGTGTGACGCCAAAGCTCGTGACAATCGCAGAATGTTGCAATATTTTCTTTGAGTATCTCTGAGCAATTCGATCTGTGTTTCGAGTTCTAAAATATGAAATCAAGTAGGTGTTCACAAGAAATAGCAAAATCAACCCACCAGAAATATTTACTTTCTAGGCAAGAACAACTCACCAAAGTCTACAGTACGCGACGTTTTCCCTAATCTTTCGTACATTAATTGTTTGGTACATTTGTATGTGGAGATACTCCAATTCTTCAGACTCTCAATTTTGCTCTGGGTAGTACGCATGGTTTGTGTGTCACCATTCTGAACAGGTGTACTTGGTGAAACTGCTACTGCTGTAGGGATACAGACATCTTTTACTTCAATTTTAAAGCCGTACCATCTCATTTGACAGGAAATATGTGTGTAAAAGCACTTGACACCTACAAATCTGAGTTGTAGGACTTCCTAGGCTCAGGTTTATGGTAGCTGGTCTCGGATGCCTGCCGCTGCTTGAGTTGTTCGGTACATGAGGCGGAGGAGTCCCAGTATGTACAGCACTGTCGCTCTCATTTAGAGAAGGTGCATCCTTCAACATTTCATGAATACTGCGCTCCATTCCACTTGACGTAACCGTAATTTGGGACATTTCTGTTACAAGATAAGCATCTGTGTAAGCACCTCTCTCGCTTACATACAATTTTTTCCAGAAATAATTGAAATCCCTTCACAAATGTTATCAATGAGAAATGTGTATTCTTATTGTTCCTTTTAAGGTTTCTATTAAAACGAAAAGCCTAAATGAATCTTAGATCTCTCACACTATATTTATAGTCTGTGCAATCGTGTTTCATACTAAAATAGACCATCATGCAGCCTTCATAAAGATCCAGCAATACTTCTGACACTGCAAGATACTTACAATTAACAAATTAGCAGAGAATGTAACAGATATGATCACTGCTCAGGACATTCAATCTATGTGTTATTCGAGGTGTATTATCGCGAAAAATATAATTATAATTACAGCCGTAAACCATTGACGGCATTGATACGCTTTATCGCTCACACACAGGTATATGTAGATATACGCCTTATACTTCACATAGGTCACATATCGTAAAAGAACTTTCAGATTAGTTGAGACTACGCCATACTCTATAGTCACATAGAAGACGCGGAGAAACGTCACTGGACGCTTGCCCCCCCTCCCCCACTCGCTATTCGCTGATTCTTTCGCTCTCTTTAAGAGAGAGCTGAGAGAGACAAAGAGAGAAAACGCAAACCAAAAATTATCCTTCGAGTACAAAGCTGTATGAAGCAAACGTGAAGCAGCGCGAAGAATACGCTGAATAAAGCAATACTTACTATCTTAAGACTGACACATTCGTACGTTATTTCTACCGTTATTACATATCAGTACGTATACATACGCAATGAATGTAATGTAAATCGAAACACTTGACAGCTGAGATTATTATCTCATGGCATTTCATGGAAAAAGCAATGTGCGTGCGAGGCTAGATGGCGCGACAAGTATTGATACCGTAGAGTCCCTAGAAGGGAGAGTCTGGCCATTCACCGTCATTGCTCTCATTGGTCAATCCCATGTTCCCTCAAAATGGCGTCACCAATCACATAACACAAAAATCGTATATATAGCACATGATCCACTAGAAACTATAAATGTGTTGTATGATGTGTGTGTATGCGTGTGTACATG